TGTGTGTGTTGGGGGCTAGCTGACGATGGGAACTGCAGGAACTGCCCTAGCTGGTTCAGACATAACCACACCAAGAGAGAGCAGTCAATTTAGTTCTGTTGAGTTTTATACATGATTCATTTCAAGGGCTTTTATACTCAAGCTCCCTCCTCTAACATACAAGGGTTGTCTCTAGTCAATAAATCTGTGACAAAGACCTTAAAACTGTGCTGCCTTGGTGGTAAGTATGGGGCAGGGCTTGTTCCCCCCCCCCCCCCCAAAAAAAAAAAAGGAATACTGACCTTAGCTCTCAGCAGTGTCTGTAAACTACTCACAGACTCTCTTGGACTCCCTACCTTCCTGTTCGCCCTCACAACCAGGCCTTAGAGAGGGACATCGTCTCTGCATGTTCTCTGAGTCCTTAGATGTACAAAGACCTAACGGCGGAGACAGGAGAGAGAGCCTCATCCAGCATGTGGGCTGGCTCTGGTGACAGGGAGGACTGGACACCTGAGAACTGGCTTCCCAGTGAGGCTCCCCATTTTTATGCACCAAAGCTGTGTCAAGCACTGATTGGTCACCAATATGTATTTTTTTGAAGACCCAGTATGTTTAAGGAGTCCCCACCATGCCATTTGAATGACTCAGAAATGTGCCTTTCTGCCCCCAACTCAGAGTTGATACCGTGTTCTGTTAACTCCACTTAAGCCGAACACTCACTCACGGGAAAAGCCTGATGTTTGCTTAGGATTTTACTTTTCTAAACAAATTTTCAAGCAAAATGCCCATACAAATTAAAACATTCTCAGGAAAATAGCCCGTTTTAAAACCAAAATATCTCTGAAAAGTTAAGCTTAGTTTGAGGGATGTGGTTTTCCCACATACTCTAATGGTCACAATATGCTAAGGAAAGCCCTGGGTAGGGGGGCCACAAAGCTAGCCCTTCACCAGTGTTGGGATGGGAGGGAGACTGACTGTGCGGCTGGCCTTTCTAACACGGCCAACTCTTGTACTGCTCTCATCTGGCCTTTGCTTTATCACCCCCCCAACCCCCCCAAAAAAGGCCTGCAGGACTGAGGCTGTTGGGACCCTGTTGCAGCCGAGGGGAACCGGGCCTCCCTGCTCTAGCTGAAGTGCAGGGTTTGGACAATGGGAGTGAACACCCCAGCCTGCTCATGTGGGGACAGGAACACCGAGCACTCTGCTTGCCCGTGTCCCTTGGCCTCAGTGTGGTCTCACAAAACCCCTGGCTGCTACTTCCTTCCCTGAAGGGTCCTTGCCTTCACTGCAGTCCTTCCAGAGGGCTCTGGATTAGCTTCAGTCCTGTGTCACCAAGTGCCAAGCAGCCAAGGAGCAAAAGTGAGACCTCCCCCAGCACAGCATGCACTGTCAGCTTGGGGTCTCTGCCCAGGGTTGGCAGTGGCAGCCAGGGAGAGGCGCACCCCCCAGGAGACCCTCAGGCTGGGCCGTGGTGGGGCCTGGGGAAAGCTGCGAGCTGAGCCTCTGGGCCCACTGGTTTCTTTCCATCCCATCTGTCACAGCAGTGTGAGGACCTCTCCCCACCCCAATCATGTTTGGGTTTTAAAAGCCATCCCTCATCCTGGTCCCCATGCCAGGCATTGTTAATTACAAATGGCCTGATAATGTAGCTTGTTCAGACTGGAGGCAAATTTCTGTCATCCTGAGGTCTCTTGATCTGGCGGCTTTCCTAAGAGGCGTCTCTGGGCAAGCTGCCGTTCTGTTTCGTCCACTCGTACCAAGACAGGTTCATCCCTCCGGTGTCCTGAGAAGTGGACCAACCAGGTGACCCAGTGCAGTGCTGCCCAGGAGGCCTGGGCTTCAGGGACTGTCCCAATACCTGGTTCCTCCACGTGATTTATTGTCAACATACATGACCTTGGACCTTGGGGTGGAGGCTCTGAACCCAAATCACCTTTTCTTCACCCTTTAATTTGAAGATGCTTTGTTCTGATCATGTGCTATTAGGTTTTATTCCCAGAAAAATATGGTTCTGCTTTTTTCTGCATGAAGGATATACCATGGTGCCACACGCTTAAGAAATGAGGCCACATCTGATTTGCTACGTGTAGATGCTCCTGTAGAGTGAAGTACCTAACCCGATATGGTATATTATTTTGTAGTATCTCAAAATTTGTAAATAAATACCCTTATTTTTATATGGAAATTTTATAGAAGAGCTATTTCTGTATACATAATTACCAACAAGTCCTAAGCATCTTGAACCCCCCAAGCATCACCTGCAGCGGAACTGACCGAGGGGTTGCACAATGTTGCCTTCCCAGGACCCACTGGCCGCAGTCTCTGAGGTGGGCCTAGGAAGTGATATTTTTAATAAGCTGACTGATGTTTCTGTCATTTCAAGTGTGATTACTTTCTCCATCCTGTAAGATTAAAAGAAGAAACTTACACTCTAAATGAGTATAAGTTGCGCTTGAGAAAAAAAAAATGTATCAGACTGTTTTATGATTTGAGATGTATTATAGAAAATAAATAATTTAAAATAATTCTGGTCTCATTCGTAGTGATGAAGTGGTGGTGCTGGTGCTCTGCCCGGACCCTCCCTGTTAAGCCCTGGGATCTTCTTTTCCTAGCTGGGTCCCTTCAGTGACGGTACATGGGCAGCCAGTGAGATCCAAAAGCTGAGTCTCCTCGCCTCAGTCTGGGTGGTCTGATGGGCCACCCTGGTGTCACGGTCCCTGTGGAATTGGCTGAGCCTCTGCCTACAGCTTCAGCTGCACTGGGGATCTTTCCTGGCTACTCCATGGGGTCCCCAGGTGCTCAGTGCGTGCCACTGGCACCACCTGTGAGCAGAAGGCACATCAGAGTTTAAAAAGTTGTTCTCAGATCCGTGACTTCTGTCTTTTCAAAGGTCACTTTAGAAGATAAAAAAAGATTATTTACTTATTTGTTAATTTTGGCACTGGGGATTGAGCCTAACCACTGAGCCATATCCCTCACCCCTTTTTAAATCTTATTTAGGGACAGGGCCCAGGGTCTGAGTTGCTTAGGGCCTCCTGAGCCACTGGATTAAGAATGACGTCTTTAAACTCCCAGAAACCACCAGCCTGAATACAGTGTCCAGGGAAAGTGCTTTTTCATCTTCAACAGAGAGAA